ACTGTTATCTCCTATGCTCATCACTGCATGATACATAGTACAGATGGGTCTTGCTTATTTTCTCTTCCAGCCTTTAGCCATATGGCTCAAATTAAACAGTTCTTCGCTTAAGAAATAGCCTTTGCTGTGTATGGCTCCTAATCAACATGATCAGCAGCAGAACACTGCTGACAAGCACTGGTTTTCCCCCCAGAAATGGCAGGATGCTTAGCCCTCTCCCTTTGCTTCTACAGAGTCTCTATAGTCAGGTCTTAAATAAAAACACTGTGAAAAACTTCTACAGCTCAACCCTTTTCATTCTTGGGAACCAGAGAACAGACAACTAAGGGTGGTCGCTGTCCCACCAAACAGGCACTCATCTCAGCACGGAAACCACATTTCATGAGCCATCAGCATTTTGGGGGAAGTGCTGCAAACTCAATTACACGTGCCAAGGATCTAAGAATATGAAAGTCTGACTGGTGTGTTTGACTTTTGATCCTGTTCTCCTCTAAGGCGCAGTGAAAGGCATGTATTTTCAGTGACTCTGTGTAAAGATGGCTGATTTGCAAGTAAAGGTCAACTTCTGATTCTTCTAAAGGGGAACATAATACATTTTGATGAGAAGTTATAAATTTGCCTTTGACCATTCTTTTTAAATTTTTTGGAAAGACAGAGGTGTATTCATTGCTACTTCACCCATCCTCTTTTTTTTTTTAATCAGAAGAGTACAGGTACCTTTTAACTTTCTTGACACCCTCCTTCCATAAATTCAATTCAGCTTCTTATCCTTTTTGACTGAATGAACATAATTCACTAGGATATAGCTATGCAGTAAACTTTCTCAACAGCTAATGAGAAAATAAAATTCTCTAATAAACCAAAAACCAAGGAAATACCCAGCAGATAAATCCCTTCAACTACTAAGGGTTATTCAGTATGAAGCAGCATATAATAGCAAAAAAGATAACATCAGAACACATGCGTTAATTGCTTTAGATGTCATAAGCATCTAAAATAACAAAGAAAGACAGAAAATTCACAAAGAAAATGTCAGCAATAACCTAGAACTTGAATAGTCACCAATTACTCTTTCAATTCTTCCATGAGATAACATGATTATCAAAGATACCAATTTACCTGTGGCACACCTAAGTGATCTTTGAGCTTTTCAACCATTTATAACCAGGGTCACCCCCATATTACATTACACTTTTGCCGAGTTCTTTTTGGGTCTTGAATCACAGTTCTTGCTTCTTCCACTTAGCACAGCAGTTTTCATATGTCCCCATAAAAACAAGTCAAATGCTCCCATAATCACCTAAAACATGCTTCAAATACCTCTTACTGAATTCCATTACACAACACAATTCTTCCAGCACAAGGAAATCAAAACCAAGAGTATACAACTTTCTGTTCATGCCAAAAATATTCCTCTTTTCCTGTATTAATTCAACTTTTCAGTACTATGAATGAGTCTGCGCTTCTGCACATGGACCAGCTGGGCAGAAGAGGACAGCAACAGCCTACCAGAAACAGTATGTGGACTTACTAGGGAAGAACTTTATATTGCATCTTTCTGGAAGTGGTTCTACAGAAGAACATGAACACATCTTAATGCCCTCTTGGCCTCACTGAATTAAGATAAATACTTGCACAGGAACTGTCCAGTTGGGATGCCAGAGACTCATACTCACAGACTTTCAAGCAAGACGAACTCCAGTACATGCAACAGGACTTTGCCTGATTTGCTCAGACAAATGCAACCCAATAAAGACGCTATGGTTTTCTTAAGACTGAGAATGGGAAATGTTTTCTGCTTTAAATACCACTAAAGGAAGCAAACACAAGTTACAATTTCACTCCATTAGGAAATAACACTAAAACCATACAAGTAAAGGGCTCTGCCAAAGAGCTGAGACTTCAGTCCTTCTCCTTGTTCATAACCAAAAGAACTCATAGTCTACCTTTGGTGCTAGGGGAGAACAACAGGATTAAAGCAAAAGGCACATCAAGGACAGGTGCTGTGTAGTAGAACACACACTAGGAAAAATTTCCCGCTTTCCCCTCTACACCCTCAGGCCATGCAGTTTCTCCTGTCAAAAGACACAGGGCTTAAAAAAGACATGAACAATCCCAAAAAGTGTTCCCTAGAATTCAGAGACAAAAGACTTGTACCAAAGCAGACCTGGATAGAAAACTGCAAATTAATGATTTTGCCAAGTGATAACCAAGTACACACAGCCCTTGCTTTCTACCTTTGTACAGTACTAAAGCATGCCTTTGATTTATAAGTACTCATAAAACCTTTCAGCAGTTGCATATTACAGCCTGTACGAGATGAATTTAAATTCCTCTATTAATTTCTCTGTAGCACCCAAAGTAAAGTTTGCATCTTTAAACTCTACTATCCTTTCTTGCAGTTTCATAGAAAGCTGAAAGCACCAATTGCATTTAGCCTGTAATAAATAGTGAGATATGCCTATGACAGCTGACTCCTCATAAAAAGGAATTTGGTGTATAAAAAAGTGTCATGAAAAGCAAAATGTAACTAATAACCGGTAATCCTCACAAGGACACAACCAGAATCCATCAAGAATCCTTGCTAATCAGAGCAGTAATGTAAGAGTATCAACCTTACAGGGGTCAAGTACTTAACCTGGTGTGCTGCAGAGACAAACCAACTTTCCTCAGTCCTCGAGAAACAGAAGAGGTGATCCCCTCCTACTACTTAATGCTTTTACACAGAATCATCATTATTTTGTTTCAGCGAACTGGAAATGAGAGCTGAAAATAAGGTCTGAGGCATATATCCACATCATAGAAGCAGAATTTTGCCTGCAGCATCCCAAATTGTTCTAGATCATTAGATGTTATTAAAACCATATACTATGAGGCCACTGGGATTTCACCACAGCAGTTCCTTGGTACACTTTGAAAACAGAGGGGAACATAACATAAACTTTATGACAACTGCAAAGTCATGCAGTTTCAGGCAGAGAATGACTATATTTCACTCACAGTGCTTTGTAATTTGTGGTAAACACCCAACAGTCTCACCAATGATGTGATACTACCATGATACAGACTGTGTCATCATCAACTATAAAACGCAGCACCTTGGTGGCTGCAAATTAACAGGCAACAGTGAACCATTACAGAAAGTCTTACCAGTCCTACAAAGGCCGTACTGGCTGAGATTCTGTAATCTTTAGCAGCCAAGAAGACTGAACTAAGTGGGCAGCTCTACAGAATAACACAATTATGTGTGTATTCAAACTTGTCTATAGAGGCCAATTCAGACAAGCCTGTATCCAGAGCAACAGTTTGTGCACACACCACAGTACTGCAAACAGCAAGGCTACACTCTTCCTATTTCATGACTGATTATATTCTATTTTGTTGGATCATTTGGCAGAAATGTTTGATTAAAGCTGAGAGTTTTATTCATTTGTATAACCAATGTAATTCACATTCTTTTTAATTGTTACATTTGATCCATTTTATTAGGAGAAGACTGAATACAATGATCAGAGCTCACCAACAGAACAATTATTTCAGCTCATCTTTTAGGTACTGACTACCATCTAACCTGAAGATTGAGACTACAAATTATGTACAAAGTAATTTCATTTTTTGTGATATTGTCACCAAACGTCATGAAACTGAGAAACCTCAAAGCCAAAAGGTTCAAGTAGGTTCTACATCACTGTGATGGTTTTCCTTTCTCCCCTCATGCTCCACTTCCATGTGAACTTGCTGACTGGCAAGGATTTGGTCAAATCCTCTGTGAAGCTGATGCACAGGTGCAGGAGGAATATTCAACAAGCTGTTCCTCCCACATTCACCTACGAGAAGGACTCCGTTACATACACTCCTCTCACAGTCATGCATACAGCAGCTGGTAAGTTATAATCTCATTGCCTAAATAGCCCATTAATGCTTAAGAGGAGTTACAAGAATGAGTCATCTTTGAAATTGAGACATAAGTACCTATAAACATTTTCTGTGGCTATTTACAAAGAGAGAAGCAAGAAGACCTGACAATAACCATCTAAGAGAATATAGGGGGTATCAAATGCTGCAGCTGCACCTCAGACTGTTCTGAAGTATAACATTCATGTCTCCTTACAGCAAAACTGGGGGAAAATTCATGAGGCCAAGGGTGGCAATTTTAAATAAATGTAGTGTGAAATAATGCCCAGAGCTAGCACTGAAACCCATGTGCATTATAGTCCATTAACAGGGATCACAATCTCGATATATTAAATGCACTTCAAAATACAGTATTTAGGCAAAACACAGGTTATAAAAAAACCTCATTATATATGAAAGGCTAGCTACCAAGTCAAGTCTTGAAATTCATGCATCTCTTGAGGGTAGTTGGCAGGCCTGTAGGAGGGATTAATGAGTGCAGAAAGAACTTGCAAACTTCAAAGCTTGAGGCTGTTTTTAGAGAACGGCTAGGAGGAAATCACCTACTGGCATATTGTTTCAAAAACTTGAATTAAAATTAAAATGGAAGGTTTTTCCTGAAGCACTTGTTATTATGTTTGAAGGGTGGGATACTATGACCTTGAGAGAAGTAGCCGCTACCCTGCAGTAACCACTTATGCCTAGGCTCTTACTCCACAGCAACGGGGTTGCTCTCATTTTAATTGAGGGACACTTCCTTGCTTTAACTATGGGGTAAAGAACATATACATGACCAGTTACCATGGGACAGCTGTCAGACACCACCAAAATCAGCTTGTTGCATGCTACACACATTCATGCTTTAAAACTCTTTATGCATTCATGCACAAAACTTAAGTGGGACAAACACACGTAATTCATGTTGCAAGGCAGGAGACTGGCTAGCACTACACAGATTCCCAGTTTCCAAAGGAATAGGTTATATTACTGTTCAGGTTACAGAAGTCTTCATGCACAAAATGCTCTCAGTTTTCAGAAGACCATTGAAATTCAAACAAGGATTTAAACAAGAAAGTCTGTAAAAGTCCATAACTCCTGTCACTTACTTGGCTTAGAATTAATGACGACATTTTCAGCAGAGTGTTGGGGTGGAAACCTGCAGTTGTCTCCTTGGCCCTCACTGCTGCCGTACTCTATGACTTCCACTTGTCCCAGCGGTACGCTCCACTTCAATAAATACCTCTGGCCTGTTGTCACATTGCCACTGCTTTCGTAGGAAGAGCTGGAAGATGCACAAATTATTGCTGTGACAAGCACTATGTTACATGGCATCCCGCTTATTATTTTAGCTTCTAAAATCTGCTGCTTATGAATCTGAGTACAATACACAACTTTAAACTAGTACATGCATCAGGCTGACTTTCATGACTGATCTTTTCTGAGTGTGCAAAGAGCAGCTATGCAGGTGCAGATAATCTTGTTTACAAACAGCACAGGACTGCCAACAACAGTCCCTACATTTCTATAACAAAACATAAATTACCATCTTTTAAGATCAATGTGCATTTTGACATCCTTATACAAGTGTTTAGGATGATTTTTTTTCCTAATTCTTTTGGATCGTGCTGTCTTTCAGGACAGTACTTGAAAGAGTGCTCAAAAGCAGCAACTGTGACATTTAGGGAAGTATGGATGATGGGGCCTTTGACTGACTACTGGCAGCAGGACAGGCAACATAACCTCTCAAAGGCTGACACGCCAACATTTCTGCTGAGTCCCACAGCCCATGATGTTCTTCACAGCAGACCTTTGTGTCCTGGTTTGAGCAAAATAGAACTAATTTTCTATTTAGTGACTTTGCTTTTCAGCTCAGTCTCTTCTAAGTGGCTGAACTTGCTGAAACTAGCAGCATGTTTTTCCAGTGTGTACTTCTACAAGTGATAATGACAAGGCCACTGTCTCACCATGGGTGCCATAACTGCACCTACAGGGAGGAGCGGACCCAAAACTGACCAACTAGGTATTCCATCCCACATACGTCATACTCAGGATAAAGCTGAGAGACCATGAGGGTCTTGACCCTTCAATCTTGGAGCCCTTCCATCTTGGACCCTTCCTTCCGTCTCGACCCCTTCAATGGCCAAAGTCCAAGCAGAGCCCTGCTAGTTCATCCGTTTCTGATCCTGATTCGTGTGTTCCTGCATCCTGCTCCCACCTCCTGCTGAGTTTAGACTGGGATTTTTCTAGTGCCCTGCTCCGCAGAGCCTCTGGTGATGTATTCATCATTAGAGAAGGGTGAGGGGAGGATTTTATATTAGTTTTGTATATATATATTTGTACATATCTGTATATATTCCATTATTTTCCTACTTACATTATTATCCTGTAGTATTAGTATTATGGTTTTATTAAACCTGTTAGCTTTATTTTCCAAAATAGTCTCTCTCTCTTATTCTCTTTTCTCTTCCCTTCTGGGGACGGGAAAGGAGTTAACAGAGAGCATCTGATCAGGACTTAGTGGCCAGGCCAGCCCAGCCCTAAACCACAACACTTTGCAACTGCTGTGGCTTCCGAGAGCAATCCCACATGAGCTGCTGCTGCTAACCTAAGTGTGTATCACAACAGGCACTTCAGAGGAAAGAGCAAACTGAAGAAGCTCACTCAGAATAGGAATGGCACTAATACTTCTTCTCCTTTGTTTTCTTCATTCTCTTACTCCCATTCAAGTGCATATAACAAATACTTCTTACAAAGGACAAGAGAGATGTTAAAGTGAACAAAACAGGTTTACTTCACAGAAAGCATGACTGAAAAAGAGAAGTTAAATGTTTGGGAGATATTAGCAAAATGTATTTATTGAGAACAGTGCCTAAACACTGACATTCAGCTAGTCAGCTACCTATTCACAACACAATTATACTTTTGTTCCAGTGAGGAAGCAAGTGTGAACTAAAACCACAAGTGCCACAGCTTAAGTAAATATTTATAAACTCTTGTTCTAGTTCAGAAGAAAGAAAACAAGGCTAGGCAGGACACAGCTGTTGAGTCAGTAGGGATAGCATCCACTCCATCCAGCTCCTGCTACTTAAAAGTTAGGTCTCCAGTTCAAGCTGGTCATGTAGACTACATGTGAATAAGGACCTTCTGAGGGTCATGTACTCTGTAGAAATACATCTTTTTCCAGCCATAGAAAACTGGTCTGGAACTAATGGTCCCCTGGCTCCAGTGATATCTTATTGTTTCTGTAAAGACTGGAAAAAGGCCGGTTAAGAAAAGTCAGCTGGTATGTACTGCACAGATACATGTAGGTGTAATTCTGCTGAAGAAGTCCGCAGCTCCAGGGTAAATGTGCAGATGTGCACCTTGAAAACCACTGCTCTGACAGAAGCCTGGCTTAGGTAAGATGCCTAACTTCTGTACAGCTAAAGTGAGCAGAAATAAAGCTCATCCTGCACAAGCTGAACAGGCAAGCGTACATTCTATAGAATATGCTTATTTTGAACAAAAGCTTCTGGACATTCAGATATTCCAAAACCCCATTGTTATATAAATAAGCGGGTTGGAAAGCAAACCTTAACTGCTAGAGAAAACCATAACTGAACTTTTTCATAATTAGTAAATCCCCGCAACACATGTGCATTCAATTACCATCCCAAAGGAGTTTGCTCAGAACCAGTTAATGCCCATGGGAACAACAGTGCTGTGATAACCAGAACTGTTGACTTAATAAGGAACCCAGCATAAGCATGAACTTTTCACACAGGATATGAAAACAGGCTGCACACTGCCACTTCAAGGACAAACACAGAAAATCCAAGACAATGATGTTACAGAAGAAGATAAAATATAAATGGCTAAAAACAATTTTCTTGCAAACACCCATAAGGAAATATCCAGGTGTTACCAAAGAAATGAAGAATTTGTAAAGGAAAAGAATCACAGGATAAAAGACACAAGCTTGTTCATTTTCTGAAGTGCAGTTACATGGTGCTTCTCACTCACCGAGACCCAGCATTCATATGATTACAAAAATACATACTGCATTCATACTTCAGTAATAAACTACAATATCAGCTCATATTATACTCATCTCTTGGGCGATTTTAATAGTCCACATTTAGGCTGTCAGAATGTACCCTCATATAAAGCAGTTAATGATTCAAGCAACACTTGAATGTGAGTGTGACCTTGGCATACACAGAGGTACAGTAACAGGTTATTAAATTACAGCCAACTAAAATACAGAAGACACTATGAAAAAATGCTTTCCTCAAAGCATCTCAGCTTTAATCCTTCAATGTCTGGTCTCAGAGATAAAAGCCCTTCCACAGCTGGAACTTCGTTAGCAAGTTCCAAGTTTTTTCTGTCTATATGCATTAGCTTTGTGTTTTGTGGGGTTTTTCATTTGGGGTTTTTTGGTTTTGCTTTATTGTTCTTTGTTGTGGTTTTTTTTTCAGATTTGCAACTTGTGTCAAGTTACAGATTTGTCTGTGTGAAAGGCTGAATTTAAGGAAGACAAAAAAAAATCTTACCTTGGCATGCCTGCATTCTGCTAAAGATTAATACACAGCAACAACTGGACACTAAAGAGCATTTGTGACTGTAATCTCCAACTGACAATTTTCTTACAAGTTCACCTGAGTTTCCAAATATTAGCAGTCAATTTAGAAGACTGCAAGAAAGCTAGTTATCCATTTATTATGACTACTGCTAGAAATCATTACACATGGTAAAAACAGTATTAAAAAAAATTATTCCAGTTGAAGCTTAGATAAGAATTTTAAAAATATAAATCAAACCTTACCGAATGTTTACTGTAGCACACATCAGCACATCATTTAACATGAAAAGTCGTCGTTCTTTGGTTTTGATAATTTCTCCTTTGTCATTGTAAACGGTCTCAACCATATCATCAGTCCGTATGAGGTATCTGTTTCCACTGCTGAGTAGCTAGATTTTAAAAACAATCAACATTGTTCATTATATATGGTACATCTAACATCTGCTGCAAAAACCAAAAAGAAAATACAATAGGTTATCACTTATCAACCTAGTAAAAGTGTTCACACGTAGATTTCCAAAGTGAATTAAGCCTCTGTACTGATTTGCATTTAATTTAGAGAAACAGTAACTTCTGCTGCCAGCAATGTGGCTTTGCAGGGGTTTTCAGTCTTAATGTGGAATGTAATTGCTCGGAAAGTCTTCCTCACTGGTAAAGGTCCCCTAATGAAAAAAGTCACAGCTTCCAAAATTTCTGTTATTTCCTTCCCTCACTCCTCCTTTCACAGCCCATTTAAGTGCTATGCATGGTTGCAGCCAGCCCAAGGGAGAGGTCAGGGTGGGAGGAGGATGAGCACTCCTGCCTGCTTTGTCCACCTGGGCTCATGGAGCTCCTGAGCAGTGTGGCTGGCTGAGCGCCACAGACTGCCAAGGTGACACGTACAAAGATGTCATTTGCCTTCAAGGCTGAGGATCAGCACTGTGTGCAAGCATGAACTGATTCCTCCCAGGTCAAATACACCTCTGCAGCGGCCAAGAGAACAAAACAGTCTGTCACTCACCCATTTCCTACATACCCACCTCCTTCACCGCCTGTTATTTTTCCAAAACTATTAAGTCTCAAGGCACACAGGGCCCTACATGACTTGGAGTGACTATTCAGGTCTATCTCAGTTTGTTCTCCTGGTGCAGATCATACAAGATTTTACAGTTTATATAGACTAACAAAAGGAAACCTCTACCACCTCTTAAAAAGCACCTTCTGTGTCTTGAATTCCTTTAACCATTTGTAGTGTCTGTTCCAAAGACTGCTCAAGGCCCAGAAACTAATAACTAACTTTTCCATGACACAGTCCTGCTTCCTAACCTTGTTCAGATAACGTTCATTCATTGCTTTTGCTATTTGTTTTATCTCACAGCGCTGATCTGCATCCCTTTTCCTTTCATTTAACTTCTCTGCCAGTGTTTCGAGTTCTGTAAGAGCCATCTGTAGAGGCAACCTGTCGGGATGTCCTCTATTAGTGTTCTTCAACATATCCTGAGGAGAAGTGATAAAAACAAACAAAAAATAATTAAAAATCAGATTTAACTTCAAAGTCCAGTTCAAAAGATTACAGGATGTAATGTTATTGCTACATTCTTTACCCTTGAACTACTACAGAACAAGACCGATGAACACCTAATGAATATTCAGACAGCACATCACTTATTTTCCTGAATACCTTAATAGTCCTTAAAAATGACACTGAATGAGGTCATATACTGCTTATTTACAGGAAGAAAGTACAGCAAATGAACTTGAAAATAAGTGTAAAATAAGCTACCACAGAATCTCACAAGCAAATCACATAAGAACACAACAAGAGCATCCCTTTGGCAAACATTATTTACCTGCAGTAGTAGAATGAACTGTGGAAAGCGCTGGATAGGTTTCATCATTAAACCATAGAGTGTAATTCGATCGGGGCTTGACTCCTGGCACTGCTGCAATGCAAGAAAGCCACACTGTTCACTACCCTTAGCGTATTTCCATCAGTTACGGAATGAAAGGAAAACATTTCCTGAACATTCTTCCATGCCATTTACATAAATTGCAACAGTGGTAAAGATTCCATTTAAAAATATTAATCTTTCAAAAAAATAACTATTAAAATGATGGCATGTCACTGAACTGAAATACAGCTGGGATAAAGCCACACCAGCAATGCAGCACCTACTGCACATTCATGCATTTTACATAACCAGTGTACTGGAACATCTGCTTAACTTCAAGCACAACAGAGGGAATGTACTTGTTCAAGATCTTAAATTTGAAAAATGTAAATGATCTGTTGATTTACAGTCTGTAATTTATTATTGCTGCTCTGTTTCTTGAAACTAAGAGACTATAAATCTGTAGCTGCTCATGTGTTTTTAAGAGGAAATTAAGGAAAACATCATAATCTCAATGCTATGCAAACAAAAAGATATTTTAATTTTCTTTATTAAGAGAAACTAAGGGAAAGAACATTGATTTATGTTTGGAAAGAAAAATATAAGAACCCATTATTTTGGTTATCGCGACTGGCAGATAAAACCAGACATATTTCATTTGCACGTACATAAAAGCCCTGTTTGTATAAGACATTTCAGCATTTGGAAATATTTTAGCCAGAATCACAGCTAATCCAAAACAAGTAGAGGAAATACTCAATATTAAGAACAAAGCAAACCCAAACAGTATTAAACTGGTGTTGTACTTAAATTGCTATTTATGGCTACAACTATCAGCTTCACAACAATTTGTTTCTTTACTTATCTCCACAAACATTTCCCCCCCACCTCAGACAGCAGCAGTGAAGATTCTAGTCTTCGCTGCTGGTGGGCAAACAAAAAAAAAAGAAGGTACAGAAATGCCTTTTGCCCTCAGAGTTCGACTGCGAGTCCCCAGCTCTGAGCAGTACCAGTGCTGGCAATGACAAGCAGCGATGAGAGGTGTAAGTTATGCCTCTATTGGAACAACAGGCTTTTAAGAGCGTGAGAGGTTTGAAGTGACTACATGCTTACTAGAGTTTGATCTTTGCGGTGCTTAAGGCTTCCAGAATATAATCTTCTGTAGTGGCTGCAGCCCAAAAAGTTGTTAGTTATTTTTAAGATCTGAAGACAGATAAGGAGTCAGCCCTCCTGCCACCCTCCTCTAAGCAACCTAACACCTTCATGATTTAGTTTACCTAGGACACCCAGTTTCAGTGTTTGGTGGACCCTTGCAGCAGACCTGACAGGGTGACAGCTCTGAGAGGCACAACTCAATCCAGGACTCTTGGGGAATGGGACAAGCAGAGCTTCCAGGCTCTCAGCAGTGCCTCAGACAGCCTAAAAGCCTTGCAATGGATTTTGTGTACCCTCTGTAAAGTATCACCCCTAGGGATTCGCCACATTTCTACTGCGTGTACCAGGCTCTCAATGCACGTCATCAGAAGCACTATATTCATCAAGTTAGTGTGCATTCTGTATAAAAATCTTCCATTTCAACCTCGAATTGGAAACATGATTTTCAAAACACTAGGAAGTTGTTTTGGAGTGGAAATGTAGTTAAACCACTCTGAACAATGCAATAAAGAAGTCAGAAGTAAAATAAATCTCAAATAAGAAAAGCCCTTAGATGTGAACTGTTATTTGAAGCTCACCTTCTATGAAGGAATCCCAATGTTTGCCAAGTACAGTCACACAAACACCAATAAACTAATCTGAACAACAGCAAAACCACTCTGCACTTCAAAATACAGCCTAGATCTACCATAATGTGATTATTCTGAAACTACAGTAGTGGAGGCAAATTCTCTGGGGATTTTTTGTGCCAAACCCATAAAACATAAAACCAAAGTCCTTAAAACAGTCACACAATATAGAGTATCAGCAGACAAATTTCCTCCTATCTTAATTTATAATAATTTATACTGTCTTATTTGTATCATATGCCCAGCCATTTTAAGATTGAATGAACTCACCTTTAAGAAGTCTAAAAAGGCAGGTTTGGTGGCACAAATTTTCTTGAGAATCCCTACTGCTGTACTGAAGTTGTTTACATATTCGCTGTATGCATCCAATACCATAGATTTAGAAAACTGAAAACATAAAAGGGTAAACCTTAACTATAAATACAAAAGATTCCCGAAAACATAACTGTCTAAATCTCTGACCGTTAAGGATTTGCCTTGCTCAGAGCTAAAGGCTTTGCTTAGTCTAGTGCTGCATCTACAGAAATAACCTTTCTGTACAAGACAGGTTGGAAGCCTAAAGATGTAACAGCTCTTAATTAAAAAAATGTAAATTTATAGAAACAGCTTCATCTTGGCTACAACACTATGGCAGAGCCTGGGGACTATATGCAATCAAAGGGCATGCACTGAAATTCAAAGCAGCTGCTGGGATCCCCCCGATCATCTCATTGCTGCCTATCTTCCAGATTTGGTGAACCAGCAAAGTCCCAGTGCCTTCATGCCCCATCTTCAGCTGGTAAGGGTTTACCAGGAAAGTGGTCAGATTATATAGCCTGCAAACAGCCATGTGAAGGGTAACATCACTGCCTACTGCCTCCTTAGTAATTTTATCTCCCTCTACTGCAGAGCTGGTCTCATTAATGCTACCCAACTTGCTTCAGTCAAAACAAGACTTTAAACAGAAAATCTGTAGTAAACACTTCTTTTTGACTGAAACAGGGTCAAAGCACTTGGACGTGCAGGTCTCGGCTCTCTTACAGCAGGCATGAAAATGTGGTCATTTCCAGCAGCTGGCCAGCAACAAAACAAAGTACTCAAATCAGTAAATAGGCAGCCTTTTCTGTCCACACACTCATGGTGGGGACAACATATTTCTATCAAGCAAGGCCACGTCTTCTCTAACTTAAAGCAATAGCTAGTTGAATCCTTTACTGGATGGGCTTCCATTAACGATGAGACAGTGTGTTACAAATACTCTTTACCTGTGCCCAAGGTTCAGTCCAAATCCAGGAATTCAGGGCACCAAATACTGTTTTTTCTACTCCCAACATACTACATATGACTACCTACTTTTTAAGAGATGCTGAGCCTCAGTCTCAACTTAATTTTGGTGGCTTTGTGACTCTCTGCCTCCTCAGAAAAAGAAACTGTTTACTTAAGTGTCTGAAAGTGCGATGAAAGCCTGAAAACTTTGCCCACAACCCTTTCACATCTGCCAACCAAGCTGAACACGTGTTGGTGTCAGTTTCCTTACCAGGATGGTACATACATACCCTGGCAGTTGCCACAAGGCATTGGAGAATATGGAAATAAATAGTCAAGATAGACAGAGAGACAGAGAGATGGAATAACAAGGCTAAAATAAAACCAGATTATCTGTTCAGATGCATTTGCTTACTGAAGCAACAAAGACATCACCAATCATTTCAACAGAGTCCCACTCAGATACACGACTCGCCAGCGCAATTTGAAACATTGAATGGCACTGAAGAATTTCCTTAATTCGATAGAAGACCATTTTGAGTTTTCTTTCACTCAATAATTTTGGTTCCATATCTGAAAGGGGCTTCTCATATTGCTGTAGGGGGAAAAAAGCACCATAAATAGATGTAAACAAACAAACAAAAATCAGTCTTGTACAAGCAGAATAAAACAACTTATGTAACAGTATCCACACACAAAATATCTAAACATTTGGCATGAAGCATCTGTAGCAAAAACTGTGTGAGTTATACTACAGTTTCTTTAATGATTTGACTATTTTTCAAGTTTCCAAATTACAAAATTAAAGGATATTAAGGTACCTCCAGGATTCTTTTGAGAGCATCCACATAATTCTTCTCACTGTCAACTACAGAGCCCAAAATATACCTTCTCACAACCTGTTAAGAAACAAAGTTTTGCCTGAAGCTCTAATCAGGTAACACGTTCATCATGGTTGGGAATATTGATGATAAAATTCTCATATTAATAAAACACAAGAAACACAAAGCAATTTCAATACTGGAAGTGCAATAAAGTAATACTGTACTTTTCACAAGTAACTACATTTCCTATTACTCTAAAATTAATTCTTTAAAGACCACAACAGTTATTGTATCCATATCTATTTTATTTGCTGACTGTTGCAATTACAACCTTTACTTTTGAAAATTGTCTTTTAATTTTAAATGTATAAATTTTGGCATAATACAAATATGAACAACTTGCTATTAAGAATTCAGGTCCCAGTATAAAAACAAAGCAAAAGCTGTCTCGACTGCAGGACTGCTATTTAAACAGGCATCAGGTTTTAAACATAAGCTGCCGTGCCACCTGCTGTTTAAAGCAAGCACAGCCATAAAGTCAGCTCACCCATAGCAGAGCAGCAGGGGTTGGAAGGGGCTTGTGACCTCCACCCTCTCCAGCAGGGAGGCGTAGGGATGCTCGGCACCCTGCCCGCCCCTGGCCTGTGCCCTGGCACAGGGTTCCTCCGTCCCAGAGCCAGGGCTTCTGGTGGCCTCTGCTGAGCTACTGAAGCTCTTCTGTCAACCTCAGCCCAAAGCCACGCTGACCAGCAGCACCACCCTCCCACACACAGCCTGCTGCATTTTTAGTGTCCTTTGTCACTAGAGCCCTGCTCCATCAAGCAGCAGACCCATATTTTTCTTAGCCCTTCTTTTGCTGTTAAACACGTTAGAAAAATAAACCTCACCAAGCAAACAAAAAAGCTTATACCACTTTCCTCAAATGTGCATTAATTTGTTTTTTACGCTCAATTTCTGAAGGTACTGACCAACTCATGACTTGACACCACAAGAAGCTAAAAACTCTCACATAGTTATTTCCTGTCATAACAATACAGTAACATGAACCTACAGGATTTAATTTCAGCCAAAATTTCTAACCGATGCTGATTTCAGTGTTTTTACAAGTGGTATCCACAGTGACTACAGAGTTTGAGGTGGAGAACAAAAATGAGCAAAACATGATAAAGAGCAAAATACGCTCTTCTGTAGGCTTGACTTTATTTGGAACAAGTTGGGTTTTTTTTTTACTCAGGAGAAAGCTTAAGATTCAGAGGGCATACAGGATATTCTCTACATTTAAAATAGAAATCCTGGAGCACCTAAAGCAATGTCTTCCAACTCAATAAAAATGTTTACAGTCTTTTCTTTTTCACTCAAAACTATCACATTTGGGTTAAGTCTACAGGTAGTGAAATAATACAACTATTATAGATAATTTATAATGTCAAAGAGCATTTTGCATCTCTGGCTGAATTCAAGATTGATGCAACTATATGCACATATACCAATTTTCAAAAAGCTACTTATACACAAAATGACAGAATGGTAGAGGTTGGAAGGGACCTCTGAAGATCATCTAGTCCAATCCCCCTGCCAGAGCAGGATCACCTAGACTATGTCACACAGGAACACGTCCAGGCAGGTTTTGAATGTCTCCAGTGAAGGAGACTCCACAACCTCTCTGGGCAGCCTGTTCCAGTGCTCTGTCACCTCACAGTAAATAAGGTTTTCCTTATGTTTGAGTTGAACCTCCTATGCTCCAGTTTGTGACCATTGCCCCTCGTCCTGCTGCTGGGCACAACTGAGAAAAGTCTGGTCCCATTCTCCTGACACCCACCCATTAGATATTTATAAGCATTAATGAGATCCCCCCTCAGTCACCTCTTCTCCAGACTAAATAGACCCAGCTCTCTTGGCCTTTCCTCACATGGGAGATGCTCCAGTCACCTCATCATTTTAGCAGATCTACGCCGGACTCTTTCCAGTAGTTCCTTGTCCTTCTTCAACTGAGGTGTTCTGAATTTGATGTCCACTTAATTTATGTTAAACGTCAAATAAGCGTGAAGAGCAAGGCACCTGGAAGCCACTGATGTGGCGCAGAAGGGGAGGAAAACAAGGCAGAAAACTGTATTTCCAAAAGCTTACTACCTGTTGCTGTGATAATCCTTCAGGCATAGGAGTCATAATTGCTTCTGTATGCATACAGTCGACATCGATAAACAAATTTATCTCTTCTTCTTCCAGACATGATGATCTATGGTCTACAAATAATTGAATAAACAAAATGTCAACATTTACAACATATAGATTGAAAGAAGGAAAAAAAAAAAAGAGCAAAAATCCTATCATCCAAACACAGTAATCACACAGTGGTCTTATTTCACTTACAGAAGTGCTGTGAATTTTGTTTGATATCACCTGTGAAATCACATAAATACCATCACTGATAGGTGTTCTAGTACAGAACATCTTTCAAATTATCCCAAAAATTAAAATTCACATAGTAGGAGACAGTCTATGCCTATTTTGCTTGACCCTCTGCTCCCTCTTTGCAGCAAGCAGAACGGTTGTCCAGAAAGCAGGACATGACAACTAGGATTAAAGTACTGCGGCTCCAAATCTAGCAGTTTTTAAATAAGTTACCTTTGGGAAGAAATTAAACACACCCATAATATGATCCAGACTAAAAAATTCCGTGTGTCCTTCCATAACTGAACAAAAATAAGTAGCCAAATGTACCAAAATGTTGTCTGTCAGCAGAAATGAGTAAGGGGTTCTGCACTGCACAACCAAAATGCAGTGACAGGTGGCAGTATGCAGCCAGCGAAACGAGCAGACAGGAGCAAAGGAGAGATAAAGAAAGATGAGTATGAGAAACCGTGTCTTAGAACAAAAAGGGAAGGGAAGTAGATCTCTTGGCTGGGAGGAATTAATGGGTTTATTCGACAAATCTGTCACCAGCTCCCTGCCGATCTGGCAAGTGGCTAAGGGATTCAACTGTCCACAGATATCCTGTGCCTGCTACCTAATCTCTAGATATGTCAGGAGGAATGCCAGGTGCACTCTGAGGCAGAACATTTTCTCCTGTGCAACAGCAAGAAGTTGAGGACACATTTTTGATCACTCAATTTTGTGCAAGTAACTTTCTATTTTCTGTCTGTGAATCAGGTAAGTTTAGAAGAAGTTAGAGGCCATGACAAGGTTGTAAGATGTGTCCTTACAGATCAGATGCAGCTTTATGTTAGCTCACATACTAAAAATCTGTTGTTCCAGTCTTGTGGTTTTAGCTTTCTAAAATTGTAGTTTTATAAGCTATGAAGTTACAGCCATTCAATTACTTGGGCACAAACTTGAGTAGAAAGACACACTACCTCTCAAGACTTATTCTGAAGAAGTAAGTTTGTATTCAGTTACTACCACCTGCCTCTTGCAAAAATTAACTGTGGACTGCTGCTGCTGAGGCTCGTGACAGAGGGCTGACGTTTGTTCTTTATTACAGAAAGAAAACAAATACTTTTAGCTTTTTTATTTTAGATCACCTTCTGTTTTCCCAGTCCAAACTCAGCTTTCACCAAAAATCACCAAATGGTGACAAAGCAGAACAGTCTCTTCCCCTACTTCCACTTATAAGCATGGAAAGCATTTGCTATTCCTCAACCATGACAAACTTTTTAAATAGCCAACCATCACTCCACTGAAAACTGTACTGCAACAGCAGACCTTCTTCCTGATATTCCGGAGTTACTCAATGGAGGGAACTGGACAGACTTAGTACACGAACAAAATTTTCATGCTCCTATATATCAATACCTAGATAGCATCTATGACACTAGTGGGATTTTTTTGTTGTTGTTTTCAAGTGGACCCTTTCCTCTGGTCCTCAGGTTTCTCACCCCAAACCTAAAACTACTCAAGATGCATTGACCATACTGTCATATGAACGGAGTATTATACCATACTTTATCGACATAAAGTTGATTTCATGCATCCAGTACTCAGCTCCCAGGTACAAAAACCTTCTAGGCTATTCACTTCCTTTCTCAGAAATTACTAAAGATAGTTACACACACAGTATAATTGACACATACCTTGAGAAATAAAAGATTTTGTTCTAATGAAACAACGACCTTTTTTCACGGCTGCTTTTGTTTTTTCGAGCCCATCTTTGGTACCTTCTCTAGCAGCTCTCATAAGCTTTTGCATCTGTAAGATAAAACATACAGTCTGCATGTTCAGTGAATAATAGCAACACATTTGAACATACCATGCAGAATACTTTTGATCAAAATCTTTCAAAAGAACACTGTCAAGTAGTTTAGGCTACAAATACAGTCCAATGTCAAAGGAATATATAGCAAGTACACAGATCCATCAAAGCTCAGATCTGACCACCTGTACTTTTTCTTAATAAAATCAAACCTGGAGAAGGGGACTTAATTCATGGCAATGTTGTATGAAAGCCTAAAATAGCAGAAGTGCTTAAGAACCCTTCTGCATCCAATATCTGAATGCAAAACAGTCTCAAATGCTCAGCTTTACATTGTATAACAAATACATGCTAGGAACAGCTCTTTAACAGCCAGAGTTCTTGTCCATCTTCCAATGTCCTGTTAACTCTGTTAAAGTCTTTCTGACTCACAGAAAATCCCCTAGAGTCAGTTCTATAATAACGATATTGTTATATAATCACTGTTTTGCAGAAAATGTTACAACTAATAATTTCATTAATTGAAGAAATAAGTTGATTTAATTAAGAATTGCATAATTATACAGTACACTACTACAGCAAAAAGATAATTCATAAAAAAAAAAGTGTTGTTTTGCTAGGAAATGTTTATTAAAAACATTGCTTTATACTTTCACTTTCCCAAAATGCCACCATGGCAAAAAAACCCCACTACTGTCAGGGCTGTGCTGACATTATCAGCGATATCAGAGCACAAAGCTGTCTTGCTGCAGTCAGGCAATTTCTCGGTTTGAGCCGAAGCTTTTAGTAAAAACCCAGCCTTTTCATCCTGGCTCCATTCAGAATGAGGAGCAGTGAGATACAACTCCCGCAACTTGATCCCGCATGGCTGGAGAGCCAGGGTCAGAGCAGCCCTGTGGAGCTCACTCGGGTCTCAAGGCGCCAGGGGCTGTGTGCCTGCCTCACCCTCTGGGGTAAGGGCACCAGTCAGCAGGGACAGACAATGCCCCATCATCTTCTGAAACTGCTACAATTAAAAATCAGCATGAGAAAAGGTCCGTGGCAAAGTACTTTTAAGACAAACTGCATAATAATCCAGCACATTTAGAATTAATTTCATACAAATTATTGTCTGCTTTTTCAAGTTATTATTAAAAGACAACGTTGTGTTGGAAAAGCAATCATTTAAACGTAGCTAGTTACAAAAATCAACTACACTACCTTCAGCTCATGTTTTTGCTTTAGTTGCTGAATCTCTACTGCTCCCACAGTGTTTGCCATCAAATCTTTCATCTTTTTTTCATAATGCTCCTTTAAACGCGTTAGGTCATGAGAAAGCTAGTGTATAAAAAGACATAATCTTTTCAAAAAGCCTGCAGTGCAAACTTCATGCTCAAGTACTCACGTATATCATGCACACTGCCCGCTCTGCCTACTGATACACAGACAACTAAGGGAAAATTATCATTTAGGAAAGCTCCAACCTGACAAATGGACCATCACTCCTGTGTATCGCTGAACTTTCTGAAACACAGCCAGGCACCTTTCTGCTACATGGGCATCTATGCAAAGTTACTCAGGCTAAGCTAACTGTGTATTAACTATATTATGCACATCTCTTACAAACTGTATGAAAACAATGCATCAGCTTTGGCCACAAGCATCATTAGTTCATGCACAAACCCTAGCAAGAGTACTTCTGACTGTCCTTCAAAACAGTGAATCGCAAGAATACTCAAAGGCTGAAGAACCTGCAGAGGTTGCTGCCACCTGAGAAGGTGGAGACCAACAGTGTCAGCGAGTCAGGTAAGGAAACACTAATGGGAGGATGCACAGTGTTAGTAATTCCCGCATGCATTTTTCATAGCCTCATTGTATGACCACAGGAGTAACCATCTCATACATCAATATTTCTATTTGGAAGGTATGGAAACTATCCCAGAGAAATGCTCTGAAATACTAATTTGTTAAACATTTTGAGAAAGCCAGAAAAAAGCAGCCAAACTGTAACCAGACAAAAAAAAATGATGTGCCCTATAATTCCAAAGGAAAAACCCTCGCTTGATGTCAACAAAGTTATTTGGCAAGAGATGAAAGCATCAGGAAAGAGAAGGCCTACTGAGCTGAAAGCAGTGACAGGTCCCCGCACTTAGCTCCACTAGGCTGTGTCAGGATGTGATTACCTCCAAAGTCATTCTGGCATTACAGCAATTAAGAGCAGCATCTGGTTCACAGACTAGAAATATTTAATAGCCCCAAAACTGTCCTGTCTTAAAATAAATAAAAAATAACAAGCAAGTGTATGGGCCTGGCCTGGCACAGCGTGAGTTAAATGCCTCAAAGCAGATGATTCTCAATGAGCGACCCCCCAGTGGTAGGAATGGCTGTGCTGGAGAGCATGTCCAGGTCTACCCAGGAGAGGGGCGTGTCATGTCCTGCTGTGTGGCCTACCACCTGGTACAGGCAAGGGGCATGAGGGAAGAGTTTAAATAGCCCCCCTTAAGCCTGAGACTGTGTGATTCACCCACCATCTTCCAACCTGGACAAGACAAAGAAACTGCTTGTCCAGCCGCCATCTTAACACCAGAGGCCTTGGAAGTGGTGACTATCCCTCACCTTTTCTACTTCTCTGATCTCCTTTTTATCATTTTCTTGTTTTCTTTTCCTTTTTTCTAACACGTGCAGCTGCAGCAAGCTGTAGCTGGCAGTTTTAGTTTTGGGTTACAGTATTAAGCTAAGTCCTCTTGGTTCTGCTAGTCAAATTGTTATATAGTGTTGCTAAGTTGCACCCTGTTCCAGTAATTTTGGGGTCATTTTGGTTTCTTGTCGGTATTCCGTCGCCCACAGGTTGTTGAAAGGTTTGAATCCAGTGTTGTTTTTTTTCAAGGCATGTACCTTATCTAGTAAAAACATCGCTTACATCCTCCTTCTGAGTGATTTTGTATCGCTTTGTCGCCGTGGCAGGATAAAAGAGCTCACTTTTAAAGCGGGCCGTGACAGCAAGGCAAGTCCTTGGTAGGCTCTGTAAGACTATAGGAGGAGATGTGCTGGAAAAATACTGTAACATCCATCACAAGACCTAAGGATATATGAGAGTTAATGCGAGGAATGAATACAGAGAGTAGGTATAAACTGGAGGGGTTCCTGCTTGTGTTCGAGTGCAAGTGAAGGGAGAGTTGGGTTATTATGTTTTGTTTGGTTGGAGTTTTTCTTTGTTTGGTTGGGGCGGTTGGTTTGTTTGTTTAAATTTCAGCAATCCTAAAGTTTCTGTCTTTCTTCATTCTCCACCAAACCCCTTTCCTAGTTTCCTGACCCATTCAGTAACCCATTCAGGTACAGCAGCCTCTCTGACATCGCCATCCACCAGCTAACGTGTCCCTAGGTGCCTCATCCCCATCCTCTCAAGACAGTCCTAAAAACATCTCATCACATGCCTGGAAAAGCCAGCAGCAAGGCACTACCCTGGAACACGCCTCCCTCCTCCCACCACTCCTTGGTCTCTTGCTCAAGACACTCTGTGCCTGATCCTGGGACCAACACTCTCACCCCACTGCAAAGAGTTTCCTGTGACAGAGCAAAGTGTTTAAAAAATGGCATTAAACCATGCTTTGTGCACATATGTAAACAGATTCCTATGACAATGGCCAAAGCTGAAGCTACAGATAGCAGGAAAAAATTAATAAAAAGAACCAGCAGCCATGTTAAAACTTTCTCACTTACATGCAAAGTGATTTCCTAGTCTCTTCCAAAGGTATTTAGAAAAAAAAATAAATCTGACTCAAGTTTTCTTCAGTCTAGTTGAAAAATTCCCCCAAAAGCAGCAGCTGCAATAGCTTAAATGTGTTCTAGTCATGACAAAACCAAAACAAAACCAGAGGATGAGCACTCTGCTTACAAAGTGCTGATTTGGGTAGGCTCAAGTCTTGCAGTTAATTGCTCACTCCTTGATTTCTGAAGAGCAGGGAGTAAGGATGGAGATGAGGGGAGAACAGATAACGTTTACTGGAGGGAAACGCAGGCAGTGAGGCTTTTATTCTCATCAAGATAACAAACCTGCAAAATGAAAATAAAGGTCTCACGGAAGAACACCCTGGACCTCTACAACCCCCAGCCATGGGGTGCTGGGGTAGATAAAGGTGCACAGCTATGAAGTGGCTCTTGGGCGTCCATCCATAGCCAGCACACACTGGGGGTCCTGAGGATTTTGCGGTGACTCCAGGCACTGAGCTCGGCCCTGCCTGCCCCCACTGTATCCCATGAGCCCACCCTCCAAGCACTTAGAGCAGGGAAGCAGCAGCATCAGCAGCAGACTGCCCAGGGCCCAGGCAAGACTTTCCTCTCACAGAAGAGACAGGAGGGCAGAAAGACAGGGGCCAAAGTAGCAAGAGCACAGAGTCTGGGACTCTGGACATGCAATCAGATTGATGCAGCGAGGGCAGGAACCCATGCCATCAGTGTCTTCCTGTCTTCACAGCACAGATGTAGCCAAAGATACTAGACCAGAGATGTGTCACAGATAGGTAATTTTAATCACACCACCTCTCTTCTCTCCTTAACAAATGCTACAAACTTCTCTTGGATCACAAAACCCTTTTATTTTGGGTTGTTTTTTTGAGCATCTGAAGAATCCCAAAGCTTCAAGACTTCAAGTCTTGTCAGGCTTATGCCCATTTATTCTTGACGTTATTTTCTACACTCATTTACCACATACACTAATGCAGCAGCTGCAAAAGAAGAAAAGGTGAGGAACTGTCCACAAGCAAAAATTATCTCATTTTGCATTTCACTTTTATTCGAGTTTTTTTGGGGTTTTTTTGGGTTTTTTTTTTTTTTTTTAAGGAGTTTCTGTTTAACATTTTCATATTTTATTTTCCCCTGTTACTTATTGTTGTGGACTGTCACTCCCACACTGATCCACATCTCCTTTAAAAAGATGCTGCTGGCATTTGAAAGTGGACTGAGAAGGAAAGTACAGGTGATAAAGGTAGGTGTTGGAAATCAGAATAACCTCAATGACTCCACAGCACTGTGGGATACATACATGTCTCTTATGGTTGCCTCGCAAAAACGAGCTGGGAATTCCATTTTTACACTCAGAATCACTCTGTTCTTCATAGCTTTCAAACTCACTTGAACTCCACCCATATTCCAGCGAGCTGTTTCCACCATCATCACCATTTTCAACATCATCATAAATCATTTCCTCTGCAAGAATTAAATCAAAATAAAAAAACTATACTGAAATTTACGTTTGTTTTAATGCCAAAAATCTTATTCAGGATGTACTATAAAGAACAATACAGACTTTTGTACGCACATTTTAAAACATGAATTGAATCCAGTATTCAAACACTGCTAAGGATAAGAAATAAAAATGTTACAGCTTTAAAGATAAATGTCATTTCCACACAAGAAAGCTTAATTGCTTTCTTGAATCATTAACAACTTCAGCATCAAACACATACACCCTCTCAGAGCCATGACAAGTAGATGCTGAGTTCCTAATAAGCTGATCCACTCAAACACAAGATCAGCTAGTAACAACTAATATTTAAACACAGTCTTCACTTTAACCAAAAACAGCAAAACAAATCTGAGTGAGAACTCATTGAAACAAGCTTCTTGAGCCCTAGCTGCACCATTCCTAGTAAAGGTAAAATCTTGGCTCCAGGAACTACTTTAAGATCTAGTCCGCCCCTTCCAAACATGGTCACACCATCAGGTGTTGGACTGCTTCAAAGCCGAAATAAAACATTTCTGCAGAGTCACAGTCAGGATGGTAAACAGCCACTTTGAATCTCTTCTTCCATCTAACAGGTGTTGAACAGGGGGGACTTTCAAGAAAAGAGCAGTTGTCTCTATAACCATGAGGATGATGCATTATGATACATTTTAAAACTATTTAAAACACCCTTTTGCTACCTACCTACCTAGCCTTCCTCACATCACTATAGCTACAATACCCAACTCTGTAATTCTTCAACAGAGAGTACTCAAGCATCTCGGATAGTATCTACAGAATAAAGCAGAATTCAGCTTCTGAGAAGAGAGGTGTAGGAGACCTGCTGAGATAGTCTTTCAAGAGTTTGTTTAATTCTGAACTTTGTAAGGCCTGCTGATTACTGACATAGTGTTACCTCCATTTACATATACTTTAGGTACTTAATGAACATATCTATTCTGTATACACGCACATAGTTCCACATTACATTTCTTTCAACATGAGCTATGTTACAAAGACCTCAAACCTGGTTCAGAGTCTGAATTTTCTCTTGGCACATCATCGTAAATTACTTCATCTGGGTCTAGAAGCAGAAGAGAAAAAAACAGACAAACAAAACCAAATTAAAACTCCCCTAAAATTTGAATGGGGCCAACAACAGTGTTTAAGAGGCATTTGCACAATGCCCTTAACATGCTTTAGCTTTTGGACAGCCCTGAAGTGGTCAGGCAGTTGGAGTAGACGATCACTGTAGTTCCCTTCCAACTGTAATATTCTATTCTAAAGAACTTTGGTTATATATGCACAGATGAACACAATGGAGATATGACTCATTCTCCACGAGCATTTTGCTAGTACATCTAACCATCACTCAAATAATGCAATAAGGCACAAAAACAGTATAAGGTAATTGTGAAATTTCATACTATTTTATCCATATTGTTTATAATGACATGAAAACAGAAATCCACTTCAATAGCCAACATTTCTCTCTCCTTTTTACAGTGTTAAGGTATGTTCTGTGCTTTTCGAGGGCTGCTCATTGCCTTACTAAATGGCTGTAGAGAAGCTGTAATAGACATTTTTTAAAAAGCATCAGAACTAAATAATGCAATTATCATTCTAGTACATTAAGAGGCAGAACAAGGATGCAAATTATTCAGTCACTTTAAGTAACACATAAGATGAACTTCCAGCCCAGCAGGAACAGCTGAGAACAGGTAGGATAACCTGTTCTCAAACCACAGAGTCTCTGTTCTGGTTTAAAATGCAGCTGACAGCTAAGGGCACACGCACCAGGAAAGAAGTGGCAATTCCTTCCTTTCCAACTTCTCTAAGAACTTATATGCAATTACTGCATGAGAAAAACAATTCCATATATAGCCATAGAGCAGAGGCTGAAATAGAGCAAGTTTCACGTATTGATGGAGACAAATTATTTCCCTAAGACAGCAATGAACAATTCTACAACCTCCAAAATGCACTCCATGGAAAAGTGAACATTAACTTTACTCTAAAATACACAATTTTATTACACTGCTGAATGCTTTAACTAACATACCCTTGTTCTGGAACATATCTGAGAAAATACAATAAAACTCACAGACATTCCTGTAAAATATGTATGTGCATATAGATATACTGTTGATCACAACTTAAAACTGACCTTAGATAGTTGCACTTCAGTGCTCACTGATACTTACTTTCCATCCATGCTGTATTTGCAGGATCTGCAACCCACTTGGCCAGAGCATCATCTTCTCTCTTGGCCTGGTTATCTTCACTTGGAAAAAAAAGCCATTAAAAAATGCATTAAAAACTATACCGCAATGTTTTTAAACAACCGTGAATACAAGACAATAAATATCTTGCTGCCTTCCAGTTCCCACTCTGAGGCTGCCGATTACTCAAAAATACCGCTTCTGTATGCAATTAGGAGTATAATGTAATAATGTAATATAATATAATATAATGTAATATGTAATAATCTATTCTATTTAACAGTCTGATAGTTTCAGTAAAGAAATTGAAAATGCTTCCCTTCCAATCTCAAGAAATATTTTGCTTCTGAGTTCTTCTACCAAAACACAGAAAACTCTCTCGTAGAAAACACTGAAGTGAGAGCTGCTCTTTCAGTGTAAATAAAACTAAAGACATTCTGGAGTACATCAGGAGCCATCCGGCTTGAAGAGGCTGTTATCCTTCTCTGGTTGGTGCTGGGGAGGCTGAACCTGCAGCAGCATGTCCAGTTTTGGCTTCCCAGCAGCCCCTTTTAAAGAGTCATGGAGAAACTGAAGCTACCTCCAGAGAGATGTAGAAAAACTGAAGTTGACGACTAAAGCACATGGGCTACAAGGAAAGAAGTGAAAGATATGTAGCTTATTTAGTCTGGTGAAAAGGAAGTTGCAGGGCGATTCAACAGCAGCTACAACTATCTGAAAGACAGCTGCACAGGTGATTGAGTTTGGGTTTCTTTTTTGGGTTTGTTTTGAGGTTTTTGGAGCTGGTTTTTTTTTCAGTGCCAGATGATACACAAGGGGGAATAGTCAACCAAGTGTACATTGGAAGATTTGATTCGGACATTAGGGGAAAAACAACTTCACAAAAGAGCAGTACAGCAGGGGAAACTGCCCAGAAAAGCTGCAGCATCTCCACCTTGGAGGTTTTCAAGGCTCAGCGACCAAGGCCATAGTTGATCTAATGGCATGTTGCCATCAGAAAGCAGAAGACTAGACTACAAGATCTCCAGCTGCCTGTTGCAACTGACATTACTATGACTCTATAAAAATTAAACCTAGTTCCTTCAAAAAAATGCACAGTAATACAAGATTTCAACCGGTGTCAATTTTGGTACACAACTAGAGTTACAGAGTTAAGAAAAAGAAACAAACATGGAAACATCACACAAGAGGAAGAAAGTATTTATCAAATTTAAGCTTTCTGAGAAATTAAGGTTTTACAGATCATTAGAACATGCTGAACTGGCAATCACCTATTTTGAGGCTCCTCTGAGTTTACAGAATTATAAAGACATTCTTCAGTTGCTGACTGTGTACCTGCTAAGCAGAAAAAAATATATAATCACCAAAATGCTCGAAATAAAATGTCAACGTGACTCAAATGGTATGTTTTGGCATAAGAAACTGACTTTACTAGTTTATTGCTAATGAATAATCTACTTCTATACAGTATTTTTTATTCTTAAAATATCCAAAAAAATTTGAAGTTTCTTCACGCTATCTATTTTTGCAAATGAAATAATTCAGAGACACAGCAATTCGGTGTCAGAGCTGCTAAAAGGAAATTACAGTGTCTGATGCTTTTAATTCTAATCTCTTAAACATATATTCCTCCACAGGTAATAAAAAAAATAATATCACTCAAAGGTTTGCTTTTACTTGCCAATATTCCTAATGGTGGTAGACAGCAAATTGTTAAAGGGTTACCAGCCTGAAAGGGAAGGACAGGTGGTGTCTGTAGGACCCTGGGGGATCAGAGATCAGTACTGTTCCCTCCCCTTTCCAGCCACAGTCTATAAAAAACTGAGGAGGCCCGAGGTTTTCGCAAGCTTTTCCTGGCTTTCCTGGGCTGCTTCCTGTCGCATCTCGGGGTGGCTGGGGCTACCTCCATGTGCTCAGCAGCATCCACCACCATCTGCTCCCCGGCACCACTGTGGTCCCTGGTGACGAGTCACAGCAGTCGCAGCGGCCACGAGGCACTGCTCGGACATTTCCACTCAGGACTACTGGGATCAGGTTTTGTATATAGTTAAATATCTTTTGTCCCTTATTAATTCCATTTTCCTTTCCCCTGTTGTTTTCATTAAACTTGTTACAGTCTTAACTTCCAACCTTGTGCGAAGCATTTATTTTTTTTTATTCCCTCTCTATTCCCTTTTCTTAATCCTTCCCCTGGGACAGGTAGGGGCAATAGAGAGAAAATCCTGCTCTCTCTCTCTCTGACCCTTAAACAGAGGCACAAATGCCAAAAAAAAACCCCAAAAAACAGAAGTATCACACTACATGGAATTACAGTAGAATTGCTGCCTAGCTAAAGAAAAGTATATCCAAAATACAAGAAAGAAAAAAAAAAAAAGCTGAATATGGGAAGTTTTCTGTTTCTACTTTTATCTTCACATTAAGCTATCAGTTTTACCAATTCTGGTTAAAAAATGGGGCATTGTTCCTGTAATAATCCATAGTTATTTGAAGTTTCCTCTGTCTTAAAACTGTACTAAAGGACAAACAGAATTTGTCAGATCATCAAGGGAAAAAAATCCCAAAGCAACTATAAATCCACAAGGATTGGAAAATAAAGCAAACAAATGAACAGGTGCCTATAGAAAAGGTAAAAAGGACAGGAACTCTGCCAGGAACTAGACAAAGCATGGTAAAGTACGAGAAGAAACCATTTGTCTTGAACACTGAACCACAGCTCTGGAGATTATTTCATGACATTAAAAGGGAATTAACATTGATCAATCTTAATAGCAAGATAAGGCAGGAGTCCTCCTTTGTACTGTATGTTGTAATCAAGTGCCAGCAAAACAAAGGTGAAGCAACACCAACTTCAAGAAGGGTAGAGAAAGAACTGACTGCATACATTTGGGTTTTCTTATGCATGTTTACTTAGGTATCTCAATCCTAGCACAGCAAGTAGAGTCCTGTAAGAACCTTTATTTTTAAACAAACAAACAAAACCCCCTCAAAAAAACCAAAAACCAAACCTGACATTTTTCTTCCAAGTCTGACAAGAAATTTTAGTTCTTACTGCAGGATAGAGTTTTTTTTCTATTTTGACACAAAATCTCCCACCAACATCCAGGCTGAGCGCTACACAAGCATTTACAAAACAGCACAGGTACCTTAAGTTAAACAAGAATTCCCCTGCAAATCAAGTAAGGTGTGTAAATACAGTACCTTCTTCATCTACAGAAACACTGCGTATTATGACGGGACTGGAGTACGCTGGCAGTATCAAAGGCAAATTAGATGGCACAGCATAGCCACAGGGGACAGGAACAGAATATCCACTGGACAAGTTTGGACTTGCACATTCGTCTTGCGGACTTGGTTCTGGTGATGAGGATGGATCCTTGTCTTGGATTGGTGAAATATTTATGACTGAGTAGGGGTTTACTTTGGCTGGAGTGCCTTGCGTAGGAGGTGCTGATGTTCGTAGCTTCTCATTGTTTTCTAAGTTATCGGCCCCTTTTGTTCAAAAGTTAAACCAAAAAAATAAAGTTTTATTTTTCATACCTGCTCAAGTGGCTTAATACAGCTCCTTGCAAATATTCTAAACACTGATACGATCCTTACTCTGCAAGCTGCTTACAATCTATGACTCATAAAATTTCCACACAGTAGTGCTATCCTCCCCGTTTTACAGATGAGGAATGCAACAGCAGCAAAACAAGCTGAGTTACAAAGATGCCTATGGAAAACAATAACTGGATTCTAAATGCTGAATAGGAGGACTTTTGACAAGTAGCCAGGGTCCTCTTTTGCTTGACATAAGCACATGGCTAAAAACAGCCTTAAACCCTGAAGGTTAAAATCTGGATTCTAGATTAATTTGGATCTTACAAACACAAATAAACAAGAAACATTTTAGGAATAGCCACGAGGAGAGAAAAAGTTTACTGGCAGGACACTCCTCAAAGAACAGTCCTGAAAATACTCTGTTAAGAAAAGGGGAAAGAAAATAACTTTCCAAGTTTTACTCTTTGAAAATAAACTGTTTTCTATTACACAAAGTTTCTGGTATTTCTTGAGACAAGGTACAGCAGAACCAAAGCTCCCTCTGAAGTGAGCTGCAGAACTGCATCCCAAGCAATCAGAAGTTTTTGAGCAGCAAGTACAACTTCACAACGGGTGAGAGAGCAACAGATTTTCAGGGAAAGATGGTGTTTAAGTCCCAGGTTGTCAAACAGCGTAGTCACCTGAAGAGTTACCTATCTTTAATTGCCACAAGCACAATGACTCCACTTACAAAAGGAAATTGGATCTAAGCCAGCAAAATCAGCTGCTGTCAATTTGAGCAGAATACAGTGATTTCCAGATTATACCTCAGCACTGAGAATATCTGTATGTATAGTAAAAAATGTTTTAATGTTTAACAAAATAAAACTTCTATGAACAAAATTCATATATTCAGATTCCATTTATTTTTATGCACATCATCTTAAGATCAGCAAACAGGAAGCTTAGCAGTAAATACAGCTTATCTGAAGCCATCCACATGCCATTAGAGCTGTAAGGTCATAAAGTTCTCCCGTAGCATGGCACTGTGACCAAGACCCATCCATTGGTTTGGATGTCACACTTGGATGGAAAACCTCACAGGAATGACATGTGATGGTCGACTACCCTGTCAAATCTACCATGAGTGGAGCTAGCTGGAATATTCAACACACCTGTATGGTATTTTCCATGAAAACCTCTTTTTACAAGTATTTTTATTACATTATCAAGAAAAGGCATCACATAATCTTGACTATTTAGCCTGGAGGAGGCACAGCCCGATGAGCTGACTTACCGGTGGCGTTAGCCTCTTGGTGCTCTGTGTTATCTCCAGGGTCAGGAGGAGGCGGCACAAGGGCTTGCCTGTCTGCTTCTGGTATCTCATCTCCACTGTCAAAGTCAAACTGTTCTCCCTCGTCCTCGTCATCGTTCATACCCAGGGCTTTTGGTTCATGCTCCAGAACTGTGCAGAAAGACACGCTTATGTTTGTTTGCTCTTGATAATGATTTATCGGGACCAGAAAGCGTTCCACATTACAAATGAAGCTTACACAATGAACCCTTAAATTTTTAGATTACTGGAACAGAACAAAAGCTCCTTGACAGGTTGATAACCTCATGCAGTCTTCAACAAATCCTTTAGTGTAAACAATGAAATTATTTGGAAAGCAATTAAGAACTGATAATGCAAATACCCTTGCTTTTGTCAAAAACATGTTTAGAAAAACACTTAAGCAGCCGATTCTTTAAACAAGAAAAGTTCACAAATTAATTGATTTGTACAGGGGCTTGGGGACTTCGTAACCTCAAGCTGTTTTTCCTTTCTAGCTCAAACTTTTGATTCTATTCTTTCATAAGTGTCAACATGCCAGCGATAGTAACTTTCTTCACACAGATCATGAGAGATCAGATTGGTTTTCCTATTCCAATCTGAGATATTTTTAAACCAGCGACCTTATGCAACATGCCATTAGCCCTATAACCACACACAAGGTGCACTTTGGTGCAGGTGAAGGGGTTGGTTCTTACCTTTGAAGAAGTAATGGCTGAAATAATTACATCTCAATATGGCCAGGAAGTGGGAGCATGGGGGTTATGTTTGTCTTTGCTTGTGAAGACCCCGCAGCACAGATTTGGCACTGTACATGGGGCTGTGGAGGGAGAGCAGGAAGAAGTACCAAGTGGTTTCCTCTGTGCTATTTTTATAACTCACTGGAGTCTCAAGGACCCAGAAAGATTTAAACCTCTCACTGCCTTATCTACAACTGGTTTTGGCGTGCTTTTGCATCACAAGAAGCTTGCCCACAGCATCCAAAGCTTCTGTCAGAGACACAGCACAGAGGAGGGACAGCAAGAGCAGCTGCAGGGGGGAATGCCCAAACCCACCAGCCTCCTCCCTGCTTCCAGATGCCTTCACTGCAGCTCCCTGAAAAAAAAAGGACTTAATTCCTCCCTCCTTTGACCTTCCCTAGCTGCTCTCCCAATCTTATTGAGGTCCCCTCAATGCAGAAATGTCATCTGCAGAAATTTTTTGGGCCAGCTGACCTTCCTCCCAAGCTCTCCCTCAAACCCATGATCCATACCTAACTTTCACACAGGTGTTCAACAATATATTAAAAGTGTTATTTTAAAAAAAACATGTAACAATAGCATAGAAATAAATACTAAAATAGAAAAATATGTAAATACACCACTATGTTATAAAAATATACATGAAGTTGATAGGGTTCCCACTGCCCCTCTTCAGGTAACACAACGTGAAAAACAAAGTCCTGCCAAGGACAACTGGATCTCCTGAGTCATGGTGACACTATCAGCTTTTCTGCCATCCAGGACAGCTTTGTATCTTTGTGATAAAACCCACACAAACCACAGCTCTGGGCTGCTTGGATTGTCATGGTAATCAGCACTCCTGCCAAGGCTTCTGTTTCTTCAGGCAGGCTGAGCCAGCATATTTTATCACAGCCACAAATAACAAGATCTTTCATGTAGCCTCTCTGTAGGAGAAAAAGCGAACTAATTGCAAAAATAGTAAAGAACAAAAAGGGGTTACCCTGCATTTACTGTCATGGTTTATGGCTGAGGCAGCAGGACATTTTATTTAATTTTGATGCTTTTTAAAAATCATTCTGTACAAAGTCAGCCTTTGGATTAATGCTTTTCATTTTTGCTTTTGTCCATTAGCAGTACTTTTTTTTCCCCTGAAAGATGCAAAAATCCTGCAGAGCACTTCTACGTGACTCACAACAATCATGGCATTCTTCCCAATTCAGCATCCGCCTGACCAGACTTTGCACTACTTACTGCTTGACAGTATGGGGAAAAGGAGGAAAAGGCAGGTGGTGATGCTCTTTTATTTCTGTTTTTTTTTGTTTCTTTACATTTTCAGTACATCTGTGTACTTCAAATAAATACACAAAGCTGTGAAGCATGAGGCAGAGTGGTTTTTGTGATTACCAGTGTGTGAACTGTTGGTTAGTGATGCAGGCAAGTAAGCAGACAGCAGTCAGAAGCAGGTAACAGCCACAAAACCACAACCTTTTGTGTACCTGCAGTGCTATCCACCTCTCCTCTCACTGTACTATACAAGAGAGCCACAGCAGCAGCCACTTCAAATACATAACGTAGCTCTATCTGCACGTTGTATGGTGGGAGGAGGGGGAAGATGAGGTTATTGGAATGAGCTGATCATTTCCACAGGATCAGGCCACTTGGATAACTGGGGTGATGCTGGAGCACAGCTCAGCTCAGAGCCATGAACCACCTTGCTCACTGGAGCTCATTTTAGACATCGGCAGAAGAAAAAGCGCACATGTTTACAAAACTTCCGAACCACACAGGGAAATGTTGTGGGAGCAGCAGGCACCTCTGAGGTTTTGTGGCTGCTAGGCCAAGGAGCTCCTGGATCCAGATGTCTCCTCAGGGCATATAAAGTGACTTTGGTATCAGATGCCTGGTAACTCTCTACGCCAGCACTCTTACACTGCTGCAGTTCCCCAGGCACTCGAGTCCAGTGCAGTGCCATTTGACAGAGACAGACAAGACCTGCCACTGGCAAAAAAGGTAATTTCAGACACCAAAAGGAATGACTCAGGAACCAGAAGCAAAACTTGGTTAACCAATGCACAATTCTCCACCAACAAGCCTCCACATTCCTCTTAAAAAAGCAACCAACACATATTTTATGACTGTGGGAAGAAATCCTAACATAGAAATTTATTTTCTCAGGTAAAAAAAAAAATTAAAGGTGACACCCGATGTTTTTCTGTTATCGTTCTTAATGCTGCCTTGTTTTGTTTATTCAGAAACATTTGCTTTGCATAAGAAATAAACAAGGCCAGAACCCTGTAATTGGGCACTACAGCCTGAAAAGATCCCCAAAATCACATCATTGATGAGACAGAGGGTTGAGATTACAAAACAGACAAAGAAGAAAAAGAAAGGAGACAAATTCCTTTCTCAGATTACATGTCCTTTAGAAAGGGCAGACCTGAGACAGATATCCCTACTTCAGAAACTTTTAAAACTGTATTTTAGCTTAGCATCACTTCTGCATTTGCTTAATTCTGCAGACAAACTTTAACCCTTTAAATTTACTGGTCCCTCCAGTCTCATATTTAATAAAAATACTCTCCTTTAAGCTTTTAATCACAGCAGCATACTATTTCATTTGATGGAAAAGGTATTCTAATAACAAAAAAAACCAAGAGGGTCAGGGGCTTTTTACTTCAGCTGGAGAGCTGCTGAGCACTGCAGACAAATACAGATCTTGTCATACAAAAAATGAGACATCATAAGTAACAGTTTTGAAAATATCTTTTTCTACAGTTTTGTGTTATGTTCAAACCAACACACACAAACACACACAAACAAAAGCATTCGGGAAGTGCTACAACAAATTAGGAAGATGCACAGCACAGTGACAGTTGGGCTGAAGCTGGCTACAGAAAACCACCACACAAAATTTAATGTTTATGAAGAGCTCCAGTTCCTCCAACCCTTTAAGTGTAAATCAAACGGATCAAACCAAAAAGTGCATTTCCAGGCAATTGTGCACGCAGAGAAAAACTGTGGCAGTGAAGGGCGATTTCCAAAGACACTCCTCCTCCCCAGCCCCCAATCACACAGAGGACAACTACTTTTTTTTTTTTTTAAACATATTTTTAAAATGCACCATTTCTTTTGCCAAAGTAGTAATCACAGACTGCTTAACATTACGAAGTCTTCCTGGAATTACTTCAAATAATGAAATTAGTCACTAAAAATCCAACTTGCCCTTTTACCACTACTCATACCCTTAACGTAATGCATGCCAACCAGAGTAATGAGAATACAATAACTGTTTAAACTTTTTCATCTGAGATCAATACCGTTCTGCAGCATTTGCTCTGCAAATGCTTCAGAGAAATCCTTGCATTTCTAGAAATTTATATTTGGAGTTTTAAAGCATGAAAAAAAATACATCTGATAAAATTGAAAAGTTGCCTTTAAGTTACATTAAGTGTAAAACTGCAAATTTAGGATTAAGAAAAAAGGAATCTACACTCTCATGATTGTTAGCACAACACACTGATTTATAACTTTTTTCTGTAGTATGTTATTCAGTTAAATGACTACTTAAGCATACTTCAAAAACAAGCTAACTTTGGCTGTGTTTACAGAGACCTGCTGGGGCATAAGCAAATTTAAACAATTTTTGTTTGCTCTGCCAATTGCAAAGCATTCTTGGCACCATCTGCTTTCCCATTCATTTTCCTTAAACTATTCATAGTTCAGTGTAATACAGCTAAAGAGTTACAAGTTTAAGAGTGACACTAATTTTAAGGCCATGATTAAGCTAGTGAAGCTTCATTAATAGTTTTTTTCAACTGTTTCTCTTAGAGATGCAGAAGTAAGGCAAAATAGCTCTGCATTTACTATCAAGTGCACTTTCAATACAGTGCAAAGACAGAGGGGAAAAAAAGGCACCACAAAACTTTGTTCTCCCTTACAAGCATCTAAATCAGAGATGACCCCAAAGAAGTCACTTTTACCGTATCACTACCTTACACTGACCGAAAAAGAAAAAAAGCGTATAAAACTTCAGATGGAAAATACCTAATTATTATTTACTGAAAAAATATAATACAATTGAACCTAAAGCAGACTGGCAGAAGCTGCTTGTTCTTATTCTAATGTGTTTTTTTAAAAATTATCTTTTTTACTTACATATTTTGGACTCCAACAAGACACTTGAAACTGCACAGACTCACCTTCCTTCAAACTGAATTCCCCAAAAGCTTCAACTTCCGAATTTCTTTAATATCTTGACATGCGCAAAACTTTTCAGTAAGAAATAGAAAAAGGTTTACTATCTCAGAGAATTTTTAGGTATTATAAAATTTGATAATTTCCAAGGGTTACAAATCAAAGCAAACAGCCAGGCATTGCAATCTGAGTGATTATTTAACCTTGATACACTCT